GGGGATTCCATGTCTCCTCTTCTGTTCAATATTATGGCAGATATGTTGACCGTCATTATTGGCAGGGCCAAGCGGCATAGCCATGTAGAGGGTTTAGTTCCTCATCTAGTCGATGGAGGAGTTTCCATTTTACAGTATGCTGACGACACTATCCTATTCATGGAACATGACATGGCAAACACACGTAATGTGAAACTTATCTTATGCCTCTTTGAACAATTGTCTGGCTTAAAAATTAATTTCCATAAGAGCGAGTTGTTCTGCTTTGGGAAGGCCAAAGACGAGGAACACACTTACAGACAATTGTTCGGATGTGAATTAGGTGCTTTACCATTCAGTTACTTGGGTATTCCAATCCATCACCGTAAGCTATCCAATAAAGAATGGAAGTGTATTGAAGAACGAATTGAAAAAAATACTTAGCTGCTGGAAGGGCAAGCTTATGTCATATGGAGGTCGGCTAGTCTTGATTAACTCAGTTCTGACTAGTATGCCGATGTTTCTACTTTCGTTCTTTGAGATTCCGAAAGGGGTTCGGAAGCGACTTGATTTCTTTAGATCTCGTTTCTTCTGGCAGTCTGATGAGGCAAAGAGAAAATATCGTCTCGCGCGATGGGATATCCTTTGCCGACCTAAGGACCAAGGGGGTCTTGGTATTGAGAATTTAGAAATTAAGAATAAATGTCTGATGAGAAAATGGTTATGCAGGCTAGAGACAGAGCCGGAGGGTATGTGGTCACAAATCATGCGCAATAAGTATTTACACTCGAAAACACTAGCTCAGGTTACCATGAGACCGACTGACTCGCCATTCTAGAAGGACTTATGAGAACGAAGGACTTGTTCTTTCGTAGGGTCAAATTCTTGATGGGCAATGGGATATCAACAAGATTTTGGGAGGATACGTGGTTTGGAGAGACGCCCCTGGCCATCCAATATCCTACCCTCTATAATATTGTGCAATGTAGGGAGGATTACGTAGGCACAGTCCTTCAAACTATTCCCTTGAACATCCGGTTCAGACGGGTGTTAGTTGGTGCGAGATGGACTGCCTGGATGCATTTAGTTCGGAGACTGATAGAAGTTCAACTCTCCGACCAGCCGGATGCGTCACAATGGAAGTTAACTAAGAATGAGATGTTTACGGTGAAATCATTCTATACGGATTTGATTAATTCTGGCCCACTCTCAAGGTCGCTGCACATCTGGAAGGTTAAGGTTCCTTTGCATATTAAAATCTTTATGCGGTTTGTTCACAAGCAAGTGATACTCACAAAGGACAACTTAATTAAAAGGCGATGGGTAGGAAATTCGTGGTGCTGTTTTTGTGATTATGATGAAACAATACAACACTTATTTCTTGACTGCCCACTTGCCAAGCTATTTTGGAGAACGATTCATATAGCTTTCAACATTAATCCTCCAGTCGATATTGTGTCATTGTTTGGGACATGGTTAGCTGGGGTTGAACAGATTACTGCGACCCATATCCGGATTGGAATATATGCGCTATTATGGGCTATATGGAATTGCAGGAATAATATGATTTTTAACAGACAACACACTTTAACTTTCTTGCAGGTCATCTTCAAAGCTACAGCTTGGATCCGTACGTGGTCCTTACTCACTCCTATAGACTTCAGGGAGCCTTTGGTTACTGGGTGCAACCAATGGGAGATGGTAGATCGAGTTATATTCAACTATTCGGATGGCGCTCGCATAACAGGATAGGAGTCTAGGGAGCTTATCCTTCTTATTACCATATCAGTTGCCTTTGTCAGCATGTAATTTTCCTTTTTTCACTTTGTTATGCTCCGCTTGCGAGCTGTAAGACTTTTATGACGGTACTTTGTGGATTTTTAATAAGATGGTTGCATGCATCAGAAGTCGGGGGCATGCCTCCATTTTCAAAAAAACACCCTCTATCCAGGCCTGGAAACCAAGGGGCCACAAAGGATACCCAGATGACCGACAAATAGGAAATACTCCCTCTGTCCGAAAATACTTGTCATCAAAAAAATAAAAGATGATGTATCTAGATGTATTTTAGTTCTAGATACACCATTTTTCATCAATTTTGATGACAAGTATTTTCGGACGGAGGGAGTACATAGTTATACACAAGTTAAGGTTTATATATAATTGAGTAGATCATGACGCTAATTTATCTTCTCCGTTCTGGATACACAAGTGAATGTTTTGAACGGGATCAATGATAAGAACAAGGATTCTAACCACAAATGAATTCAAAATAATATTTCTAGATAAATCACCCCAAAAGAGAGGTTTGCTTTGACTCTAAGGAGGAACTTTCTTAGAAAAACAACGAAATACAAGCACACGATAAATTGACAAAAGCCCAAACTAAACAGAAACATTTCTCTTTTATTCTTTCTGAATGAGACTAAGGAAATTATCGTTACCCCAAAAGTTCAGAATTTCAATAGCTGACCAACATCCGTTGGGGAGGCTGGCATTTGCGAACGATTTCCATGGCAATTTTAGTTATAAAGGGGTGGTAATTTCTTTAAACTAGCATGCCAATTCCTTCTTAGAGAAGGCATTTTTTATATAAAAAACTGACATCGCTTTAATCTCGGTCAAACGACTGCAAGGTTGTTGGCTGGGAGCTCCTTCCCAGCGAACATGCGCTAGTTAGCATTACCGAAAGTTAATTGATCGATATTGTGTTTCTACTGGGACACTAGATAGGTACATATATTGTTAACGGTTGTTGATCATTGTGTCAATTAATTAGCTAAATGTAAGATTCAATGGAGATCGTGCAATTTCTTAATGCAATCTCGCTAATAATTGTGATCATGACAATTATCAAGTCTAAGAAAGGTAGCCAATTATTAGATGACCGAGACTCGGTCATGCAATTGTGAAATTTTCACATAATATCTATAAATGTAAGAATATACTATTCGTGCTTTCGATGAAATAACCATCATTTATATCATGAATATTTGAGATATAGAATACATCGTCGCAATGTCGATAGCAAATTCTACCATAGCCAATGAATGAGTATAACAAGGGGATGCACATCCATATGGTCAAAAGTTACACAACTTAAATGGCATATGGTGTGATTGCTTTAAATCGTTTTGACGTATAGCCAACGTCTATATTTCAAAATTCAAACGGTAATGTTGTAATGGAGCGGCTAGTTAAAGCGTATACGTAACGGTTAGACCGGGTCTACCATTAAATGAATAGATAGAATGACGAACGGCTACTTTTTGATTTCAAAAGGTAAAACGCTCCAAGCGCGTGTTGAGAACGCTCCAAGCGTGTGTTGAGAACGCTCTCATGGAGTTTCCTTCTTGTGTTTTTGGCTTGACGGCATCACGACCGCCACGTCATTTGTACACAACTTTCGGTCTCTCAAAGGGCAGTGGCAATGTGTAATTACTACATAGAAATATATTGTTTTTGCGGTGAACTAAACAGAAATAGATTGCTCTATTTGGAAATGTAGCATGTTGTAAACAACAATAATTGTTCATATTTTCCATGTGGTTAAAACTTAGAGGCGCAAACAAGCAGAAACCGGAGGTTAACTAGAACAAACACATAGTACACATAAGCCATAACAAGAAAATGATGAGCTAATTTAGGCACATATCATCATGAATGGAACCAAGGCCCTTTTTTCGGCCGAAAATAGTGCTGTAAACCCAGAGATTGATATTTCACATAATAGCTATAAGTGTAAGAATATATTATTTGTGCTTTCGATGAAATAGCCATCATTTATGCCATGAATTTTTGTGATACGAAATGCATCGTCGCAATGTCGATAGCAAATTCTATCATGCACAATGAATGAGTATAACAAGGGGATGCACGTCGATATATTCAAAAGTTTGGTGGCGCGTCAGTACAAAACTTAAATGGCATATGGTGTCATTACATTAAATCGTTTTGACGTAGAGCTAACGTCTATATTTGAAAATTTAAACGGTAATGCCGTAAGCGGAGCCCCAAGTTAAAGCGTATACGCAACGGGTAGACCGGGTCTATCATTAAATGAATAGAATAAATGACGAACGGCTACAATTTTCGATTTCAAAAATTGAACGCTCCGAGCGCGTGTTGCTAACGCTCTCACGGAGTTTGCTCCTTGTGTTTTGGGATTGACGGCGTCACCGACCGTTGGCACAATCTGTACACAATTAACAGTCCCTCGCAAGACAATGACAATGTGTAATTACTAGATACAAATATATTATTTTTGTGGTGAAGTACATAGAAAATATCGCCATATTTGAAAATGCAGCATGTTGTAAACCACAATGGTTGCTCATATTTTCTCGGTGGGTTAACTAGGGCAATATATAATGTACCCATAAGCCATAACACAAAAAATGATGAGGTAATTTAGGCACCTATCATGATCATGAAGGGGGGCCAAAGCACCTTTTTTTCAGCCAAAAATAGAGCTATAAACCCAGGGATAGACACACGGCCGTAAAGCACAATCCCATGGTTTATTTAGAGCTATATATAGTAGTGATCATCATGACACAGACAATGATGAGATTCAATTCTGAAAACATGGAGAAACTCATCATCAAATCAAAGATATGAAAAGCAAAGAAAGGCGTAAAAGGGCGTCTCCCTAATAATCAGACGCACTCGGTAAGCAGTTCGTCCACGGACAGTTATTTGGTGCCAATCGGCCAAGAATACCACGAGCAAAAGTCGACGACAATCCCACCGGGGGGCGCGCGGGCAAGCAAACAAACGGCCGTCTCCGTCTCCACGTTTCGCCGTCAGCGCCATTGCCTCGGCCGGGAGCGCCCTCTGGCTTAAACGGCACCTTCGCCCCCGCCCGCGGCTTATAATACTCCTCCTCCTCCTCGTCGTCTCCATTCAGTCCCTTCCTGCTTCTCTCTCTCAGGCCACCGCCACCCGCTGTCCTCTCTCCCGTAGTTGGTTCGTTCACACTCGCCCCGCTCCTCCGTGTCCATCTCCTCCCTCTCGGCGACATGGCGAAGGTCGCTGCCATGGCCATGGAGAAGGTGGACGCCAAGGACCGGGAGAAGATCGAGGCCGTCCGCAAGGTGATGCGCAAGCAGGCGCCGCTCTCCCCCAAGCAGGTACGCACCGCCCGTGCCCACCTCCATCTCTCCGCGGCCATGCCTCCTTCTTGGGATCGTTTCTTGACGCCGGCCGGTCTGCGCGCAGGCGGAGTACTGCAACGACGCGTGCGTGGAGCGGTTCCTCCGGGCCAAGGGCGACAACGTGAAGAAGGCGGCCAAGACCCTGCGCGCCGTCCTCTCCTGGAGGGAGACCATCGGAGCAGGTGCGTTCCGCTTCCCTTCCACACTCTATCTTCCGCTTGTTTCCGGCAGCGAATGTGATTCTCCGGCCTGCTATTTTTGAAATCCGTTGCACATGCAGAAAAGGGGCGGTTCATTAATACTCCTACTGCATACGGCGCTCTGATGTACTCTGTTTTTGTTGTGTTCTCGTACCTACGGCACAGTGTATTCTAGTCAGGTTACTGGTAGAAGTGCGTATCGAATTTATTGTGCCGGGCTCTTTGCTTTGCTTGGCATCCCGTGTTCCCGTGTATGTACAGTACGTGCAAGCGAGGACAGTTTCAACAGTGCCCCCTTGTTGTTGCTACTATGTTTTTGACTGTTTTGTGTTGCTGTTGACGGCGAGCAGATCACATCATGGCCGACGAGTTCTCCGGCGAGCTGTCCGACGGCATGGCCTACGTCGCCGGGCACGACGACGAGAACCGCCCCGTCCTGGTACGCTCACTGCAGTTGGGTGTAAATGTTTGGAGCGACACTGGCTTGGCTCTAACCGTGAGGCTTTTTGTTTTGTTTTCTTGGCAGATGTTCAAAATCAAGCAGGATGACTACCCCAAGTACCAGCCCCAGAAATCGTTCGTGCGGTTCCTGGTGTTCACGCTGGAGGTGGCGGTGGCGTCCATGAACCGCTTCGTGGACGAGTTCGTGCTCCTCTTCGACGCAAGTAAGCAATCTCCGTCTCCGTTGGGTCGATCGGAAGGGAAAGGGAAGCAGAGGCAGATAGCGCGCAGTAGTGGTCGCATCGCAATCGCATCCATTTTGACAATGCCCTGCGACGGACTGCAAGCGCAGCGCGCACTGACTTAGACGACTGGCACCAGTCGTCAGTACGCTCTGATAGGCGCACATGAATCCCTGGCAGCTCCCAACAACGACAGACACCTTCCCATGGACGGACGGACGGACGGACGGACGCACGAACTGCACTGCGCCCGTATCGTGCTGCGACCCTGCTCGCATTGTCTCCCACGCACCTTCTTTTTAGGTTTTTCACTCGTTTGTCTTCCGTATGCATGCTACGTGGGTCAAGCGCGGGCGGGCGGGCGGCCGGTCCCCGGGCTTGACTCGGGCGGTACCGTTCGCTTTACCGGCCATGATGCCACGCTGCGTGCACAGTTATCGCTGCAGTCCGGCCGGCTTCCCGCCGGTGCGGTTTGAATCCTGGCGAGAATGATTGGGTTCCACGCCCGCTTTGCCCGGCTGCGTGGAAAGCGAAGTAGACTACTACTGTGTGTGCATGGTGGTATGGGGAGCTGGTCGTTGACGGGACGAATCGGGTTTTCGTGATGCTCGCAGGCTTTTTCCGGTCGGCGTCGGCTTTCCTCAACCTGCTGATGGGCACGCTCAAGATCGTCGCCGACTACTACCCCGGCCGCCTCCACCGCGCCTTCGTCATCGACCCGCCCTCCCTCTTCTCCGTCATGTGGAAGGTAACTAACCGCTCGTGATCATGGTGCAACTTCTTGTGCGTGTCAATGGCAAGTGGAATTTATATGAAAGAAACGTGTGTTTTGCTTTGTGACAGGGGGTGCGGCCGTTCGTGGACCTGGCGCCGGCGACGGCGGTGGTGAGCTCGCTGGACTTCGAGGACTCGCTGGAGGACGCGTCCTTCACGGCCTACCCGCGGACGGCGTCGCTGCGCTTCGAGCCGTCCGTGGCGGCCGCCGTGCTGACGGCGGGGGGGAAGGGGGGAGCCGCCGTGGGCTCCGCCTCCTCGCGCTTCGCCTTCAGCGTGTCGGACAACGCGCTCAAGCCGTGGTACCTCTCCACCACGCCGGCGCCGGGCCCGCGCTCCGTTGTGCCGGCCTCCTCCAGCCCCTCCCTCGTCGGCGCGTCCCCGCTCTCCGCGCGCTCCTTCTCCTTCGCCTCGCCCGCCGCGCGCTCCACGCCCACACCCCTCCAGCAGCAGCAGCAGCCGCGCGCCACCCGCGCGCCGCCGACGCCGTCCGCGGCCAAGGGAGGGCAGAAGGCGCCCTCCCCTCTGCCGCCGACGCCGCCGCAGCAGCAGCAGCAGTTCCCGCGGACGCCGAGGCCGTCGTTCCTGCAGTCGCCGTTCACGTTCCGCAAGGACGGGCAGGCGAGCCGGGTGGAGCGGGAGCGCGAGTCCTTCCTGCCCTTCCTGCGCTTCTACCGCCGGCCCTACGACGAGATCACCTACCGCGCCATGATGCGGCGGCCGCTGGGCGGGCTCATTGCCATCGTCGCCGAGGACTTCAGGCCGATGCCCGCCCAGCCGCCGCTGCGCCGGCACGCCGGAGCGCTCCATCACCAGCACCACCACCATCAGCACCAGCACCAGCACCAGAGGATCTGAGCGTCTTCGATCTCCATACAGCTTACAACATAATCCAATGCTACATCATCTCGCTAAGTCATTAATCTTTTGGCAACATTTTCCCCCGGGTACTTAGTATTTACTCCTACCGACCGCCTATGATATGATATCATACCTTCTGAATCCAGCCATTGTAAGATAACAGCCCTGAAATTGTGAGTAAAATCGACCCCTTTCTTTCTGCTCCCACGGCTTGTTTCTTCCTCCGTGTGATGTGATAGAGTTGCTAGTAAATATTTATCAACTTTCACTCTTACGTTCTTGGGTAACAAACTTTTCACCAACTTTCTACTCTTACGTTCGCGGTGGACCTGTACGTTGGTCAAATGGCGCCATGAGCCAACACATTTGGAGGAAGAAATTAGAAAGTAATGAACTTAGTGAGGCTGTGATGGCATGGCACCATGGCCGTTGAAGATTTTGAAACGGCGAGAGGAAAGCAACACGGAGAGTGAGGACGGGTTCTTCCTTTTCCGTCTTTTGCAGCGACGCTGTCGGCCACCTCGGTAAGCTTCACCAGTAAGCACAACACAAGTATGATGATTACATGGAGCCTGCCTGCCTACACGTTTGTTATACATACGTACGTACGCGTCCGAGTTCCAATACCTTTCGATTTGTTTTCTCCTGCTGCATGCGTAAGTTGGTTCTACTTTGAGGAGACGAGCAGCGTACCACGCAGGGTTGACGACGAGCGCTTTAAGCCCTTTTCCCCCCGCAAGAGCTTACAAAAAGCATTAAAGCAAAGCAGGCCGGCCATGGAGCCGAACGACGGAGCGCATCATTCTACTGAATTTTGAAGTTTCAAACTTTACAAACTTTAAACTGGCGGTGGTATAAGCATTGGACGCGGTAGCCGGCGTGAGGAGCAGCCCTCTCTTTTCCTCGAGCTCTGGTAAAGCCAGGAGGAACAGTGGGCATGCATCGCATGAATACTACGATCTTCTTTTGCGGCCGGGTTTTTTGCTTTCGTTGATCCATATGCCATATGCAGGATCTGTCCCGGTTCGCGTGGACCTAGCTACATCGCTAGCTATGGAGTGTAGCTTGCATTGCTGCAAGCTTTGTTTTTCTCTGATCGAGAAGGATCGATCGCCGCTCCGTTTGCGGTCGTGTTAACTCCAGATTGATTAGCGCGAGATTAGCCCCTCCTTTTCAGGGTTACATGAATCGCACCTCGCTTTTTCTGCGGCTCTTGTCTGCTGGATTCTTGTACCACTAGTGTATTATACGCTTGCTATGTAATGGTGGGTGCTGGATTCGTGGCAACCTCATACTAAAACTTGCTGAATAATCGAACCTAGTATAAGTTTCAGACATTTGGAATATCCATGCAAGCAGAAGACAGGTTGTTTTTGAATGAACTTTGTAGCCACACATGGTTTCTGTTAATAGAAACCAGAGAGGAGAAATCTCTTCATAAAAAAAGATACTCCCTCGCTAAACTAATATAAGAGCATTTAGATCACTAGAGATAGAAGACAAGCAACACACGTACAAGTGGAATTTGGTAAACAGATTTGTTGTGTTGTGACTTGTGAGCTGCTGGAAAATCATAAATTATGTTCAATTTGCTATTACGGAAGTAACTAAACAAAACCAGTAGGCGAAGGACCCCTATGACTTTTAAGTTAAGAGGAGAATGTGAGACACAACGCTGGAACTTAGGTTTGGACCCGTGTCAACTAGGAGACACCACTGCCTCTGGCAACTAGGCTAGGGGTCAAGCTCCCGTGCCCACCTCCCCCCACCCCCACCCCCACCCCCCACACACATGCAGGCTGCCTGG